AAAAAAAAAAAAAAAAAATGGGAGGATAGCTTGAGGCCAGGAGTTCAAGACCAGTCGGGGCAAAATTGCAATACCCTGTTTCTGTGGTTTTTTGTTTGTTTTGTTTTTTGATGTTGCCTCAAAATCCTGCCTTATCTCCTAAACAATGGTGCTGGCAGGTTTCCCCATTAATTTCCTCCCCGGGGACCACAAATTCCCCTCCCCACCTAAGTTCAACCGGAAGGAGGTGTCTCATCCCCCCTCTACCCCAGGCTCCCGAGTGCTGAGAACATAGGAAGCCAGTTAAGTTAGCATTTCCTGTGAATTGAACTGGGGCCAAAAGTGCAACGGAGGCCAGCCCTGTCCCTGGGAGCGACTCAGCAGTGCTGGCCACTTTGCTGGGCCCCATCTGGGTCCCCCACCCTAGCCTTCCGGGCCACAGCATCTCCTTCCACCCCACAGCATCCCCTTCCACCCCATAGCATCCCCTTCCACCCACAGGCCTGGGCAAGGTGCAGCCCCCAGACTTCTGCAATCTTAACCGCTGGGCTTCCTCTCGAGGTGGGAGCCCCGCCTCCCCCCCACCCCACCCCTGTCTGCCCTTTGGCACCTCAAGAAGGCACCTTCCTCTGTCAGAATGGCCACCATGATACCTGCCGTGTCGTGGCTCCGGGCCTGCTGGACTCTGCTGGTCTGCTGTCTGCTGACCCCAGGTGAGGCCAGTCAAGCCAGGGAGGGCTGGAGAGGGCTGGGTTTTGGGGATCAGAAGAGGGTGGAGGAAGAGAAAGCAACCCTCTTCACATCCTGCCACACTGCGCCCTGGCTGCTGGCCCTGTATCTTCGGGAGAAAATTCTGGTTCCTTAGTTCAGCCTTCAGGTGGTCAGGCCCCAGCATGCGGCTTGTGCGCCACCCCTCTCCCCCAACACACACACACACACATCCCACGCTTCCTGCTCCATCTGAACTAGAGACATTTGCCCTTTGCGTATGTGGTTCCCTCTGCCAGAATCACCCTTCCCTTTCACTTGCTAACTCCTACTTAGCCTTCAGTTTCAGGCTGGCATGGTCCCCCTCCTCCAGGAAGCCTTCCCTGACTCACCTCCTCCTATGCCGGATCAGAGCCTCTTCTGGCCTCCTTCTGAGTTCTCCCTCACCCCTGATGGATCCTGCCTTACCCACTGGACCATGAGGGCAGGAATCCTATCTCGGCACAAGGAAAGAGGTGTTAAATGGTGGGACCTGCTGGTACTTGGGTTGGGGGGCAAAGAAACAACCACTAGGACTTCTTCGTGTTCCTGAAGGTGTCCAGGGGCAGGAGTTCCTGTTGCGGGTGGAGCCCCAGAACCCAGTGCTTCCTGCTGGAGGTTCCCTGTTGGTGAACTGCAGTACTGATTGTCCCAGCGCTAAGCAAGTCACCTTGGAGACGTCTCTATCAAAGGAGCTGGTGGACAATGGCACAGGCTGGGCAGCCTTCTGGGTCAGCAACGTGACTGGCAACAGCCGGATCCTCTGCTCAGGGTACTGCAATGGTTTGCAGATAATAGGCTCCACTGACATCACCGTCTACAGTGAGTCATTGTGTCCAGAGGTGGGACTGTTCTCCGGCAGCGGTGCGGGCAGGAGGCCAATGGCTCAGGAGAGTGGGGACTCTTGAGTGTGCAAAGAATGGACTAGGGCTCTCATCCAGAGCTCAGACCTGGACATTTCTGTGTGAGATACAAAGACAGACAGAAGGCTGGGTGCGGTGGCTCATGCCTGTAATTGCAGCACTTTGGGAGGCTGAGACAGGTGTATCACAAGGTTATGAGTTCAAGACCAGCCTGGCCAAGATGGTAAAACCCCATCTCTACTAAAAATACAAAAAAATTAGCCGGGCATGGTGACAGGCGCCTGTAATTTCATCTACTTGGGAGGGTGAGGCAGAGAATCACTTGAACCCGGGAGGCAAAGGTTGCAGTGAGCCAAGATCCTGCCACTGCCCTCCAACCTGGGCAACAGAGCAAGACTCCATCTCAGACAAACAACAACAAAAAAAAACAGACAGAGAGACACACAGAGACATAGAAACACATTTCAATCTCATGCCAAGGCAGCAGTTGTGAAATCAATTAACTTCTGCCCCAACAAGTATTTTTTTTTTTTTTTTGAGATGGAATTTTGCTCTTGTTGCCCAGACTGGAGTGCAGTGGGGCAATCTTGGCTCACTGCAACCTCCGCCTCCCGGGTTCAAGTGATTCTCCTGCCTCAGCCTCCCATGTAGCTGGGACTACAGGTGCAGGCCCCCACACCCAGCTAATTTGTATTTTTAGTAGAGATGGGGTTTCACCATATTGGCCAGGCTGGTCCTGAGCTTCTGACCTCAGATGATCGACCCAACTCAGCCTCCCAACGTGCTGGGATTACAGGCATAAGCCACATTGCCCAGCATCCCAACAAGCATTTTCAGTATGTGCTGGCCAGGTGCAGTAGCTCATGCCTATAATCTCAACACTTTAGGAGGCCAAGGTGGGAGCACTGCTTGAGCCCAGGAATTAAGATCAGCCTGAGCAACACAGGGATGCCCTGTCCCTACAGAAATAAATTAAAAAAAAAAATTAGCTGGGCATGGTGCACATGCCTGAAGTCCCAGCTACTTGGGAGGCCAAGGTGGGATGATTGCTTGAGCCCAGGAGTTTGAGGCTATAGTGAGGTATGATTGCACCACTGCACTCCAGCCTGCACGAAAAAGCAAGACCCTGTATCTTAAGCCAAAAAAGGGGGTACCCCTCTCAGCCAGCAGGTGAATGGAGGTTTTTACATTTATGCTTTTTTATACTTTTATTTTAGAGACAGGATCTCCCATGTTGCCTAAGTTGGTCTCAAACTCATGGGCTAAAGCAGTCCTCCCACTTCAGTCTCTCCAGTAGCTGGGATTACAGGCCTGAGCCACTGTCCCTGGCTATTTATTTATTTTTGGAGATGGAGTCTCACTGTGTTGCCCAGGTGGGGGTGCATTGGCAGGATCTTGGCTCACTGCAACCTCCACCTCCCAAGTTCAAGAGATTCTCCTGCCTCAGCCTGCTCAGTAGCTGGGACTATGGGTGTGCATCACCCTGCCCAGCTAATTTTTGTATTTTTAGTAGAGACAAGGTTTTACCATGTTGCCCAGTCTGGTCTCGAACTCTTGGCCTTAAGTGATCTGCCCACCTTGGCCTCCCAAAGTGCTGGGATTACAAGCATGAGCCACCATGCTTGGCCTACTTTTTAATTAATTTATTTATTTTTGAGGCAGTCTTGCTCTTGTTGCCCAGGCTGGAGTGCAGTGACACGATCTCAGCCCACTGCAGCCTCCGCCTCCCAGGCTCAAGCGATTCTTCTGCCTTAGCCCCCTGAGTAGCTGGGATTACAGGCATGTGCCACCACGCCCGACTAATTTTTGTGTTTTTAGTAGAGTAGTTTTGCCATGTTGGCCAGCCTGGTCTCAAACTCTTGATCTCAAGTGATCCACCCACCTCAGCCTCCCAAAGTGCTGGGATTACAGGCATGAGCCACCTCGCCCACCCTTATTTTTTTTTTCTTTTTTTTTGAGACAGAGTCTTGCTCTGTTGCCAGGCTGGAATGCAGTGGCACTATCTCAGCTCACTGCAGCCTCCGCCTCCCGGGTTCAAGTGATTCTCATGCCTCAGCCTCTGAGTAGCTGGGATTACAGGCACATACCACCATGCCTGGCTAGTTTTTATATTTTTAGTAGAGATGGGGTTTCACCATGTTGGCAAGGCTGGTCTTCAACTCCTGGCCTCAAGTGATCCACCCGTCTTGGCCTTTGAAAGTGCTGGGATTATAAGCATTAGCCACCATGCCTGGTCTGAGGCCAGGGTTTTGTAGGTGTACCTGGGAGGGGACCCAGCCTGGGGGTCAAGTCTCCCGTAACTGTGCTAGAGTATCCTCAGAGGCTGCCACAGGGCTGGTGAACCAGGAAAGCCCTGAGTGCCCGAATCTGATTGGAGAGAACTGAACTATCTCTGGTAGAGGCCAAACCAGCTGTTCAGGCCAGAGGCTAGGAGGAGAAGCCCATGGATTCCCTAGACATGACATCCAGGAGGCATGACTGTGGTTTGGGAGACCCACATTCTAGCCTGGGATCTGCCACTTACTGATTGTGTGTCCTTAAACAATTCACCTTCCCTCTCTGGGCCATATATTTCTCCATCCATAAAAGAGAAAAAGGCCAGGTGCAGTGGCTCACGCCTGTAATCCCAGCACTTCAGGAGGTTGAGATGGGTGAATGACTTGAGGCCAGGAGTTCAAGACCAGCCTGGCCAGCACAGTGAAACCCCATCTCTACTAAAAATACAAAAATAGGCCGGGCGTGGTGGCTCAGGCCTGTAATCCCAGCACTGTGGGAGGTTAAGGCAGGCAGATCACCTGAGGTCAGAAGTTCGAGACCAGCCTGACCAACATGGTGAAACTCCGACTCTACTAAAAAAATAAAAATAAAAAAAAAATGCATAATTAGCCAGGAGTGGTGGTGGGCACCTATAACCCCAGCTACCTGGGAGGCTGAGGTGGGTGAATTGCTTGAACCCAGGAGGCGGAGGTTGCAGTGAGCCGAGATTGTGCCACTGTACTCCAGCCTGGGCAACGAGAGAGAGCCTCTGTCTCAAAAAAAAAAGAGAGAGAGAAAGGGTTGGGCACAGTGGCTCACACCTGTAATCTCAGTACTTTGGGAGACCGAGATTGGTGGATCACCTGAACTCAGGAGTTCAAGACCAGCCTGGGCAACAAGGTGAAATTCCGTCTCTGCTAAAAAAAAAAAAAAAAAGACCGGGCCTTGTGGCTCACCTCTGTAATCCCACCACTTTGGGAGGCTGAGGAGGGCAGATCGCGAGGTCAAGAAATAGAGACCATCCTTGTTAATATGCTGAAACCCCCATCTCTACTAAAAATACAAAACTTAGCTTGGCATGGTGGTTCAAGATTTTAGTCCCGGCTACTTGGGAGGCTGAGGCAGGAGAATCGCTTGAACCTGGGAGGTGGAGGTTGCAGTGGGCCGATATGGTGCCACTGCACTCCAGCCTGGCGACAGAGGGAGACTCTGTCTCAAAAAAAAAAAAAGAGAGAGAATAGAGAAGATTTCACTAGGTTGTTGTGTGCATGAAGGTGGTTGACCCCTTAAAGGTCTAAGGAAATATATAAACAGGAACTTTTAATATTAATATCTTAGTCATAAACGTTAATCCTTTCCTTCCTCATTTTGTTTTTTAATTAACTGTGACATCCTTGAGAACAGAAAATTTTGTTTAGCACCTGGCAAGGTGTCTGACAACATAGGAAATGATAATCACGGCACTAATGATAATAGCAGACACCTCGACTGGCCCAGTTTTAAGCCCTCTAAGTTTATTAACTCAAAGCTGAAAGTTCTCAGCAGGGCTGCCCTGTCTCCACCTCCACCCCTGGGGGATGGGTTGCAGGACCCCCTAAGTGCCATCCTCCCTTTCTCCCTCAGGGCTCCCGGAGCGGGTGGAACTGGCACCCCTCCCCCCCTGGCAGCCGGTGGGTCAGAACCTTACCCTGCACTGCCAAGTGGAGGGTGGGTCGCCCCGGACCAGCCTCACGGTGGTGCTGCTCCGCTGGGAGGAGGAGCTGAGCCGGCAGCCCGCAGTGGAGGAGCTCTCGGAGGTCACTGCCACTGTGCTGGCCGGCAGAGGTGACCACGGAGCCCATTTCTCATGCCGCACAGAACTGGACCTGCGGCTCCAAGGGCTGAGACTGCTCGTGAACACCTCAGCCCCCCGCCGGCTCCAAACTTTTGGTGAGAGAGGGAGCTTCAGACGGTGGGTGATGAGCTGAGCCACGGTAGAGGGTGCTCTGGCTTTGGGATTCCTAAGAGTGGGGTGCCCTGGATCTCACAGGCTTCTGGGAAGAAAAGCCCCAGGCTACTGGGCAGGTTGGCCCCAGAAGGGAGGCCTGAGCCATCGGATCTTTGGAGAAAGCCGTTTTCAAGGCTGTGTGGGTATGTCCTGGAAAGAATGGGTGACCCAGTCAGCAAAATATCTTGATTGAGGGGGATGAGGGTGTCCTGGTGGAAGGCACAGTCCTGCGGGCTGTGCTGATGCCTACCTTTCTCCCCAGCCCTGCCGGTGACACCACCGCGCCTCGTGGCTCCCCGGTTCTTGGAGGTGGAAACCTCGTGTCCGGTGGATTGCACCGTAGAGGGGATTTTTCCGGCCTCAGAGGCCCAGGTCCACCTGGCGCTGGGAGACCAGGTGCTGAATGCGACAGTCACGAACCACGGGGACATGTTAACGGCCACAGCCACAGCCACGGCGCGCGCAGATCAGGAGGGTGCCCGACAGATCATCTGCAACGTTACCCTAGGGGGCGAGAGACTTGAGGCCCGGGAGAACTTGACGGTCTTTAGTAAGAGGGGGCGTGAAAGGGGGCGCGGCCTCAGCAGTCTGGGCGCGTGTCAGAGGGGGCGGAGACTAGCTGAAAAGTGGGGGCCTGACTTGCCCCAGTAGTAGTTGCAACGTGGGCAGGGACCGAGTGCCCGGAATTGGACAAAGGCCACAAAGAGAGCGAGGCTTGAGACGCCGAAAGCGTGGCCCAGATATCCCGAGAGGAAAGGGGAGGGCGGAGGGCTCGGCTAGATCCACAGGAAGGTCCTGTTCCTTAAGCTCTTGGGCAATGCCCCGCCTTTAGGTTTCGGAGGACCCATTCTGAACCTGAGCGAGCCCAGTGCCCCCGAGGGGTCCACAGTGATCGTGAGTTGCATGGCTGGGGCTCGAGTCCAGGTCACGCTGGACGGAGTTCCGGCCGCGGCCCCCGGGCAGCCAGCTCAACTTCAGCTAAATACTACCGAGAACGACGACGGACGCAGCTTCTTCTGCAGTGCCACTCTCGAGGTGGACGGCGAGTTCTTGCACAGGAACAGTAGCGTCCAGTTGCGTGTCCTGTGTGAGTCGGTCACCCTGACCTTTAATCCCTCCGCCCCTGCCCTGGAAAAATTAGATGCTCCTCTGCCCCACTGTGCCTTGGGTGTGTTGGGTGTCTGATCACACATGGTGGTTCCACAGATGGTCCCCAAATTGACCGAGCCAAATGTCCCCAGCACTTGAAGTGGAAAGATAAAACGAGACAGGTCCTGCAGTGCCAAGCCCGGGGCAACCCATCTCCCCAGCTGCGGTGTTTGAAGGAAGGCTCCAGCCAGGAGGTGCCAGTGGGGATCTCGTTCTTGGTCAATGTAACACATAATGGCACTTATCAATGCCAAGCGGTCAGCTCACGGGGCAAATATACCCTGGTCGTGGTGATAAACATTGAGGGTGAGCTAACACGGGTTCACGGGGCTGGACTGGCAAGCCCGGGAGGCGGGGGTGTTAGAGACAGGGGGGACGCATATTGACTTCGCGCTTTCTCTGCACAGCTCGGAACTCCCACTTTGTCCCCGTCTTATTGGCGGTGTTTACGACCCTGGGCGTGGTGACTGTCGTAGTGGCCTTAATGTACGTCTTCCGGGCGCGGAAACAGAGAGGCCTGTACCATGTTAGGCAGGAGAGCCCCTCTGTGCCCCTCACGTCTATGCCCACAGAGGCAATTAGGGAAGAACCGTCCAGAGTTGAGTGACTCTGGGATCTTGGGCCAAAGTTGGCAGGGGCTTGGCTGTACCCTCAGATTCCCCACCAATAAAGCCTTCAAATTCCCTAACCTGTGGTTTGATTCCACCCGCGCTGCAAGGCTCTCCCACTCAGGTGCACATCCGCTGAGTGGCGTCGCTGCGGCGGAAGGGGGCGGGATCTGTGGCGCGCAGACGCAGCTTGAACTCCTGAGGAGCGGGCTGGGGTTTAGCCAATGGGCTGAGGGGGGAGGGAAAGAGGTGGGGCTTTTCCCAGCCAATCGCCAGGCGCGCCCTCGTTGCCGCTCTATGCCGCTCCGCCCCGGCTCGCTGGTCCCAGAAGGCGCCGGGTTTCCCAAGATGGCGGCGGACGTGTCCGTTACTCACCGGGCCCCGCTGAGCCCGGAGTCTGGGGCCGAGGTCGAGGCTGGCGATGCTGCGGAGCGCCGGGCGCCCGAAGAAGAGCTGCCGCCCCTAGATCCAGAAGAGATCCGGAAACGCCTGGAACACACCGAGCGCCAGTTCCGTAACCGCCGCAAGATACTGATCCGGGGCCTCCCGGGGGACGTGACCAACCAGGTATGGGGGGGGGCAGTGTGGGATCGTGGCGGGAAATACCACGGTGCGCGTGCGCGGGAGGGAACTGGGCGACACCAACACTGAGGTGCGCGGGGGTCGTTGACCGGGGCGTCCAAGCACCCGATCCACGCGGGATCGGGAGAGACCAACAGCGGGATGTGGGGGGGCGGTGATGAAAGGGGAATGACTGTGATGTGAGGGAGGGCGTTGCTAGGGGCGACCACAGGCTTGGGCGACACCAAGTGATGGAAGGGGGCGGGGAATGGAAGGGGGCGGACAGCTTTGGCCTTGTTGGGGAATTGTGAATGGGCTAGTACATTGGGCCACCTTTGCTCCCTACTTGAATGGTGCTTTTCTGCACCCATTCTAGCACAGGGTGGCGGGACCTCAAATCTAGAAGTTTCAGGACTGCGGAGAGTATGCCCCTTCATATCACGCGTGTATTCACTGCTTCAGATAAATCCGGAAGTTACAGCAGTCTCTGGGTCTTGGCCCCCAAAACCTCAGGATTAATTTGGGAAAATGGGGTCTCCTGTCACCAGCCTACAGACCTACATGAAGGAAGTGAGGCCTGTGTTCTGTGGAGCCCCTCGTGGCTAATCTTCCTGCTTGGAGTGCCTTTTTCATGGGGCCAGCATGGGGCAGCGTTTCCCATTGATCTTTGGACCCAGGGAAATGGCATCTGTACGCCCTGCCCTATGGCAGTGAAGTAGCTTCTCGCTTCCTGCTGCTGAGATTCCCTGCTCTCTGGCCCATCAGCACACCTGCCACTGGCCCTCCCTGCCCATTGGTGGGCATGTTGCTAGTAGGACCCCAGGATTTTGGGAGGGGCTGAATTTGGGGACAGATCGGGGCAGGCATCATTAAGGATGGTCAGGTTTCTTTCTGGGTGTTCCTCCCAGTGTCTGCAGTCTCAGCTGGGAACACATTTTGTTTGTCCCTCAAGAGGCACAGTGTGTCTGGCCCTAGCACTTTGTCTTCAAAGCTGGCTTGAGAGGCTGGGCACGGTGGCTCATGCCTTTAATCCCAGCACTTTGAGAGGCTGAGGCAAGTGACCCTCTGGAGCCCAAGTGTTTGAGACTAGCCTGGGTAGCATAGCGAAACACCTACTCTACAAAAAATTTAAAAAATTAGCCAGGCATGGTAGTGTGTGCTTGTAGTCCCAGCTACTCAGGAGGCTGAGGTGGGAGGATTGCTTGAGCCTAGGAGGTTGAGGCTGCAGTGTGCTATGTTCGTGCCACTGCACTTTAGCCTAGGCGACAGAAAAGACCC